GTTCACATCTACTCTCAGGCTGAATTAAAAAAAAAAAAGAATACAGTTAATTTTAAAACATAGTAAATGATCAGTGGTTTTTGATGGAGTCATCGGCTGACTGTCTACAGTTCAATAGTTCCCTGACTTTACCCCCCAAAAAAGAAAATTTAAATATCACTATAGAATAAACACCAAACAAAATACTGTGCTGCTGAGTTTAGTTACACATGATAAAGATTGCGATTACACATATACTTTGTATTCAAAAATAATAAAAAGAGCTGTATCGGTCTTTGATTGCACTTTGAATATCATTGCATATATTAACGTGCAACTACATGATGGCCACCCAGTAAAATTAAACCTGAAGATTTAAAAAGCCATCCAAACAAAATTAATTTTTAATCTTTACAAGGATGCATGTCTCATAACCAACCAGCTTGCAATAGTTTTTGTGTTCTTAAAGTTGTCGGACAACATGTATTACAGTGGCCTTAGAATCAATTAAACATTTAAAACTAAAATTCTTGCCACGTGACTGCCATTGCCTTTATTATTCAGCACATCACTGATCATTTTTCACTTTGCTCCTGACCTACCCTGTTTCCCCGAAAAGAAAACCTACCCCGAAAATAAGACCTAGTTGTGACCATTCCCAGGGCCGGTGGTGGCATGAGGGGGAACTTGAAGAGCCGCAGGAGAGAATCAGTGGTGCCAACGAAGCCAGCGCTAGAGGAAGCAAAGCTGCATAAGCCGATGCCGGCTCCTGTCACAGGCGGAGTGATACTAAATGCACTCCGCCTGTGAGGAATCGATAGCGAAAGTGCGTTTCGCTCAGTCTGGCCAGCGATTGGTTAGCAAATTGCTCTTTGAAAGGAACTCACCCCTGATTGCCCTGATCACCATATTTTTGTACATGAATAAGTGTGGATTGTTGTACATTAAAAAATAAGACCTAGCCCGAAAATAAGACCTAGTGTGTTTTTTTGAGCCAAAGAAAAATATAAGACAGTGTCTTATTTTCGGTGAAACGCGGTAGAGACTTGATTTTCTGACTTTTGGCCTATGCCCAGCCTACTTTGCATACATCCTTTCCACCCTTTAAGTCCACTGAAGCACTACCCCTGGATAGGGGGGGGGGGAGCAGTTGAGGCTCTAGGCAGAAATCAGGAACGTCAAGCCTTTAGTTACAAAGTGAAACTAAATCAAAGAGGTGCTGCCTAAATAAAATAACCGCATTCCTAAAGTAATTACATACTGTTTGGCGACAAGCAAAGCTGGAATACTCTGTCATGATCTTTGACTTATTACAGCCTAAATGGCTGACTAAGGCCATTTAGGCTGAAACATTTAGGCTATTGTTATCTTGTGAAAAATATGGATTTCCAATAAAATATGCTATGGATGATTTGTTGAGTGCTGGCACACTTTATTGTCTATATACTCACCTTCACTCAAAGTGGCCTTCTGATTCCCTGTTATTCGTGCATCTAGCTCACGCAAGGTGCTTGCACGTTGAGAAGCTGAGGCACTGATCCGCTGGATAGGCAGACGCAGCCAAACAGTGTCTCTGCCTGAAACAGAAATTGCCCCTAGCCACAGCCAAACAGGAAAATTGAGAGAAATGTGTGGCCAGTTGGGTGCAGAGGGGAAAATGATGGTCTTTCAAATAAACAACTTATGGAAAAATACTATTTACAAACAGCTAACATAGAACATTTTTTTCACAAAGAACAGAAATAATGACAAATGCATAAATGTATATTATTATCAAAGCAGTAAAAATATTAGATATGATCTCCGTGAATGTCATTCACTCAAAACAAGTTGTTTTCCTGAAAATCTTCCATTTTTTCCACCTTTGCAAATCTTCAAATACGCTTTTGTTTAGAGAATAATTAACACTGCATGCACTATTTCAATACTGACTGTAGTGAAATGATGCGACTAAATTACAGAAGGCTGTTCAAGCTTGTCTATTTTTCTGCATGAATTTTACTGGATACAATGTAGTCAATGCAGAAATACTATTTATTACTCTGTGGTTAGTTCACATTCCATTTTGCTCCTTCCCCTTCCCACAGAAGATGCTGGAGGGTATGCCTTTTAACATACAACCGATAAACAGTCTCACATTCACTTACTTTCCTAAGAAAACAGAAATAATTAGACATTTGAGCTAAGCATCATAACAACTGCCTGTTCTGGTTTTACCTGGCAGAACCAGCCACTATACCCTGAAAAGGCCAACCCATATGATAAGCAGTTTATCCCTTTGATTGTGGAGGCATCCATATAACAGACAAAACCTAATGAGCTATGATTAAAGGTTTAAATTCTCAGCTTCCCTGCTTACAGCCAAAATCAGGAAGACTCTGTTGTTGGAAGCTAAAACCTAAGCAGACAATACAATTGGGATGTCTTGTTACTCTTTTCCCCAAAAACAAACGTATTTATTTACAGCAACGTAATTCAACATTCAAATATATGATAGGGAAGCACATTCAGATATTCTATTTGTTTTGCAATTTAGTTAAGGCAAGTAAATTTTCCGGAAAAAAATTCTGAAATCTATATAGATGAGAGAAGCCCAGAATACTGAATTTTAAATTGAAAATGTACATGTAAGTGCTTCCACCCAAGCTTAAAGTGACGCTAAACTCATGGATTAAACCGTAAAAATGCATTCAAGTACCTTAACCATTAACAAAGATGTATCTGGTTTGTGTAACTCAGCTGTAAGATCCTCAAATCATCTCTAAATTGGTGCTGGCACAGTCCTTCCTAGGTGCAGTAGGTTGTCTACTTTTGTTCCTCATGGTCCCTGGGTGTGTTATAAAGTAGCCAAAACTCCAAATTCGATCCCGTGTTGGACTACAATCTCAATACAAATTAGCAAACTAAGCATGAGATTGAAGTCCATCACAGGTGTAAGCTTGGAGCAATGGCTACTTTACAACACACACAGGGACCATGGGGAATAAAAGTAGCCGCCCTCCAGAAGGAAGGACAGTGTCAGTATGAATTCAGAGATGATTTGAGGGCCTACAGCCGAGTAATACAAAAATAAGATACATATTTCTTAATGGTTAAGGTAATTGAATGCATTTTTAAGGTTTAGCTCCTGAGTTTAGTGTCACTTAAAGTTTCACTCAAGTACCCACTTGTAGATAATTTATTGTTGTCCAGTGCCGAATCCCACTAATAGCACATACAGTGCAGAGTCTATGTATGTGCGAGGATTATACAGACATAAACCAGGCATAAAGGAGATACTATAAGTACATCCATCATAATCAGTGTTGACTGCACAGGGCAACACAGGTTTTTAGCTATGTGTCCAAGCACTACCTACCTTTCACTCTTTCTGGCTGAGGGAGTTACTATGGGGCCCTTGGACATCTAGTCCTGATCTCTGTGGTGGAAGAAATGTTGCAGACCTTACAATATTAAGACAATTAGCATTGTTTGCTACATCCAAGAGAACATAAGGAACTGGACGTAACTAAAGTAAAGGCAATGTATATTTGATCTGGTAGACACCAGCACATGCATTTTTGCTAAGTACTGAACTGACTGGGAAACCAAAGAAAAAACTGCTGCAAAGATAAAAGAACGGAGAACAGATTTCCCATAGGGCTCCATAAAACAATGAAAACCTTTACTGTAAAAATGTACCGGATTCTTACATTTGCTGAGCTCTACTGCAATCTATCTGCTGTACTTAAAAGGCCACTTTGTTGTAGGTCCAGCCTATCAATCAAAGGCTGCAAATGTGAAATGCCAGAATATTGCAAGGAAATTGGTTTACAGCAGGAAAGCAGAACACATTCATCTTCTATTGATATATCATAGGGGTGTTCTTGGAACGTACCATTCACATGAAAAATTATATGGGGACTGCAGTATATATTGCACTTGTTTTTTAAAATAAAATAGGGTTTTCTTTGCAACTGTATACATATTGACACAGAATAGAGTGCAGCATAACAGTACAAACCAGCTGTATAAATGGTATATAGATAAGCCCACCTGCCAAAACTAGCAATCATTTAGAACAGCCTTCATTTACAGAACTGTAATTAATCCCTAGAATTCCATAACCAAAACTTTATGGGAAAGTCAACCTGAAACTCAAGCTAACTCACAAAATGAAGCTGTAAATAAAATATGCAAACACATATGTAGAATTTCCAATATCTCCACACAACCGATAGAATAGACAAACAGATGTTTCACATTGTATAAGCATTTGCTATGTAGTGAAAAGCAATTTATTTCCAAGCTTAAAATAGTCTGATTATTGTGCATTTTGGCTTACTGGAATGGGAACTCAGCTGTGCAGCAAATCCTTTTCACAGCTTCTTGTAGCTTAAAAAACATTTTCTTTATAAGTCAGCTTGTGTTTTAGGTTCTTTAAGAGCTCAGGCAGACAAGAAACCATAATGCCATAGAAACACTGCATTTCATTAAAATGTACAGTACACTAACATATGGCCCTCAGCCTGTAGAAAGATAAGCATGTTGTTATGATGCTCACTGAAGATTACAAAAATACCATTATCAATGTCCATCTGAACTTTCATAACAGTTTTTAAATAGGTCAAATTGGTCTCTTCAAAAGGAGAAATGAGAACTCCTTTTGAAGAACTTTCAGAACCTCTTTTAGGTTATTACTGCTGTCCGTATAATTATTTTAAACATTCACAGCATTGAAAGCATTTTTTGAAGACTGAAAAGTTCAGAATAACTGCCAGTTTTTTTTTACTGTTCTCTCTCCCATTTGGGGAGATTTCTCCCTTGCTTGCCACATGGCCAGTACAGGAAAGAAGGAGAAATCTCCCAAAGGGGCAAACACAGATGGCATTAAAACCTGAAAGAGCATTTATCCTTTCTACTTCACGCATTTTTCTGCAGCCTTTACTGACCTAGAACATCCAGCTATAAACACTGTGGTTCCAGCATCTATCCAGAAGTCATTTCACATTTTGGAAGAGATTTGAATACACTTTCCAAAGTTCCCCTATTTGTTTTAGTAATCCAGTGAAGTCATAACAATGATAGATCATATACATGTGAAGACTGCAGTAAATAAACAGCTAGGGAGGTACGCATTCCTTTCTATCAAAACTGATATATAATATGTGCTATAATTCCTCTGATCAGAGCTAGACGTATATGCATATAAAAAAATACTGAAGGCTCATTCTAACCCCCACAAATTCTAAAAAGTTCTGATATAGCGATGTGAAATATCCAAAGGCTCTGCAAAGTTCTGCACATGTAGTCTTTATGACCTGTATCTGTGATACCTGTCTTGACATTTCCAGATTAAATGTAGACTAATGAGATGGATCGTCACGTGCAGTCTCACTGGTTTGCTTTAAAATCTTCCGAACCATCTTTTCCAACTCCTTTCTAGACTTTTGCTCTTCATCCAAACTCTGCTTCATTCTTTTATTCTCCTGTGGTGTAAAATAGAACACACAACTCTAGAAAATTATAGAAGACCGCAGAATGACCAAAACATCTTAGGAAGAAAAGATACAGAACAGCCAAACTATTGAAGAGGTTGGTCAGAGGGAACCTTAAAAACCTCATCTATATAAATGTGAAGCAAGATTGATTTAATAAAGAAGAAGGTATTCATAAACCATTTCTACTAGGGATGCACCGATACCACTTTTTTGGGTCTGAGTATGAGTACCGATACTTTTTTTTTTAGTACTCGCCGATACCAATTACCAATACTTTTTCTTAAAGGGGCAGATATAACTTTTTTTTATGCCATCCTGTGCCCAGCCCACACCTGTAGTGTGGCACAGTTATATCTAATTCTGCATACCTGGCTGTATATTATACATTAAAAAATGTAATATACAGCCAGGTATGCAGAAATAAATATAACTGTTCCACACTATATGTATGCATTATGCACTACAGTGTTCGGGCCTTGACATGTGCTCAGCCTCATCCATTTTCCACCATATGGGGATACAAGGCTTAGTTAGATAGAATAGCAAGCAGTAGTGATTTTTTTTTTTTTTTTAGAAACCTAATTGCCAATTAGTTTTAAAAAAAAAAAAAAAATCACTACTGCTTGCTATTCTATTTGGATGAGGCAAATCATGGATGAGGCAGAGCACATGTTCAGACCAGAACACTGTAGTGCATAATGCATTGCATATAGTGTGGAACAGTTATATTTATTTCTGCATACCTGGCTGTATATTACATTTTTTAATGTATAATATACAGCCAGGTATGCAGAATTAGATATAACTGTGCCACACTACAGGTGTGGGCTGGGCACAGGATGGCATAAAAAAAGTTATATTTGCCTGCTGTAATGCAATTACTAATTGCATTACAGCAGGCAAATATAACTTTTTTTTATGCCATCCTGTTTTTTATGCTGAACATGTGCTCTGCCTCATCCATGATTTGCCTCATCCAAATAGAATAGCAAGCAGTAGTGCATTTTTTTTAAATTTATAAACCTACAGCAGGCAAATATAACTTTTGAGGCCATCCTGTGCCCACCCCCCATCCTGTGCCCAGCCCCAGCAGTGCTGCTAACCTTCTTCTCCGTCGTCTCCGTCTGCTTCATCCCCTCGTGTCACAGCCTAGTCATCTGTCAATGCCGGCCTCTTCTCACGCTGATTGGCCGATTGGATGATTGACAGGCTTCCCCACCAATCACGAGTGAGGACAGAGGAATTGAAGGCGGAGTCTGGTTTCGGCCGTTCGGCCGTGGAGAAGGAGTTCGCGGCCATCTAGCATGAATGCAGACGCGGTCCTGTGTGCTGTGTGCGGCGGTGGAAGATGGCGGACACAGGTACTCGTTTTGGACATCAGAGCATTTGCACGAGTACGAGTACCCATGCAAATACTCAGTATCGCGGCCGATACCGATGCTTGTATCGGTATCGGTGCATTCCTAATTTCTACCATTACAAATCCAGATTACAAAAATAAATTAGGCACCATAAAAGCAGCTGTCCACTAAACCTTCTCAGTGATTGTTCTGTATCATTTCTACTCAACGCATAGATTACAATAGACCGCTGAGTCAGCTAAAGAACAAAAACTTCATTAGCTGTTCTTACCTGTTTTAGTTCCTTGACCTCATCTCGCAATGCATAGACTGTGTCTACAAGACTTCTGTAACAAAAGCAAAAACAGCAAATTATTGGGTATGTTGTACTTGAAAATCATTTACAAATGTAATACGGGAATGTATAATAATGATCACAGCTCTGAAAATTGTTTATCCCCATTTTGCGTGCATCAAATCAATTTATTTTGTTAAAAGAGAAATATAGTTTACTTAATTGACTCTTTTACAATTTCCTCCCCTTACATTTTTATTTAAACCAATTCACTTTTAGGATATTTCTTTTCACAACATGTCACTATCGTTATAGAGCACCTGAACTTCTAAGATTACAATACAGCTGAAGTTCAGGCACCTTGTGGAGTTTTTGTGTGTATGTGTCAGTCTTCCTTTTGGATCCTAACCCCTGCTGTATATGGGGCTTCAATTTCAAGTTAAAGCTCTTTCCACTTAGTCTGTCACTGTAATTCAGCTGGCAAATGTCAGAGCTGTAACTGGTCATTGAAGTTTTGCCATTTGCAGTTAACTAGCAGGGGACAAGGCTTAGTTTTGACATAGCACAGCCCACTGTACAGCCAAGGCCTAGGATCCAAGGGTCACTGCAGGTATCAGGTCAAGGGTACTTGAGCATTAATGGTACCTTAGAAGTATTAAAGGTCAAGTCATATTAATTTAAAAAAAAAAACCCGCCATAAAACTGTTGTAAGTAAAGCTGGTCTTCCCCAGAGAAACCAATCAGGTCTCTAATTTAACAAGAATTTTTATTTTTTCTGATTTTGGTAACTTGGCAAGAGACAAAGTATTTTTACAAAGGCTAACTATAGAAAAGCATTTTTAAAAAAAACCCTAGGTCTAGAACTGTGGTGAGATGCCAGGGATGCACTTCAGATGGTAATTGCTCTACTTTAAGAGCTTTCTGGATTTTGTAGAGTGTCACTGTTGTGCTCAAATTCAGTAGAATTCCAAGGCAGGACTTGTGATAAGCCACACTTTGTCATATCATGTTACTATCTCCACTGTATGTGTTGTGATTAAGTGCTCAATACCAGTAAAATGCCACAAGGTTTGGTTATGAGCCCCACCTTGACATACCATGTTAGCATCTCCTCTGTATGCAGTATGAAGAGTGGATTTATAAAGATTATACATTACTGCAATTGTTCCTACCGGGCAGAGGAGCATGACACAACTGAAGATCCAAAAAGCAAGAAAGAACACATCTCTGTCCCATTGTAGCACTTATAGCTAGTGATGACCAGAAGTGACCAGATGTACCTCTGACAGTGTGCACATAATTTAAACCTGATCAGTGCATAGCACAATATCGTACTTTTCTTCTGGTGCGGTTTGACCATTGCTCCTCATATCATCAATGATGAGACTTTCTTCCTCAAGGAGCAAAACCTGTGGTGTAGAATCCTTTCGAGGACCTAAAACCAAAAGAAAAGAATAGTAAAATGAAAAACATAATTGAGAAAAAGTATACATATGATAAAATACAGTATATTCACTATTTGCATACATCATCACCTTAGGCCCAATTCACACCTGGGCGTTTTGTAGCGTGTTCGTACGCTCTGCAAAACGCTCAAACACCGAAATCCCATTGTTTCCTATGGGTATGGTTCACACCTGGGCGTATTTCAGGCCGTCTGAACGCGCTACAAAACGTCCTACGCCCAAAGAAGTACAGGAGATCCTTTTTGGGTGCGATTTTGTCGCGCGTTTCCATTGGGATACAGCCAAGTAGTCCTCGGAAACGCGCGTTTGTTGTGCGTTTTTTTTACTGCGAATGGCGCGACAAACGCGCATATTCGATACGCCTAGGTGTGAACAGGGCCTTACAAAAAGATATATCTGCAAGATACAAAACACGCGACCTGAGTTTTACTGTATTACATGAAGGCTTCAGCTATTTGATCATGCTTCTATTAGATGGCCAATGCACCCATGGTAACCAGAATTCCTGTTTTACCTTCTCATTTATACTAGAATAATCTAAATGACTAATATGTGGAACAGCCACAAATCTCATGGACCCATGACCTGGTTTTCCCAAGCAATGTATATAAAATAAAAAAATTTTAAGTAATAAAAGTGTTATTTTATTTTGCCCCGTTCTTCACCACAGTCATTTGTGTTCTATACTTGAGCATCTGTAAAGAATCTACCGCTTCAGAGAGATTTTTGTTTTGTAGCAGACACAGGAAACAAGAAGATAAAATCTATCTTACTTTTGCAGATTTGGAAACTTTCACTCATTTAACCCTTTCTTCTACAGCACTCCACAAATTGGAGCCACCATTTACCATCAGTTTGCTGATCAGTGAAATAATTAAAGTGACAATAAACTCAGGAGTTAAATCTTAACAAAGCATTCAAGTACCTTAACTAGCAACAAAAATGTATGTCATTTGTGTATCACTCGGCTGTAGATTTTCAATCATCTCTGAATTCATATTGACACTGTCCTTCCCTCTGGAGGGTGGCTAGATTTGTTCCCCATGGTCCCTGTGTGTGTTGTAAAGTAGCCAATGCGCCAAGCTCTCTCCCATGAGCTTGGAGCGGTGACTACTTTACAACACACACAGGGACCATGGGGAACAAAAGTAGTCACCCTCCAGAAGGAAGGACACTGTCAGCACCACTTCAGAGATGATTTGAGGATCTACAGCTGAGTGATACACAAATGAGATACATTTTTGTTATTAGTTAAGGTAGCTAAATGCATTTTTAAGTTGTAATTCCTAAGTTTAGTGACACTTTAAGTTGTCAAAGATTGATATACTTTGCACAGTTTGAAGACAAACTTTTTTATACTTCTAGACAGTATTCTAGATGTAGGAATTGAAGCGCCAGACCAAATAAAATAGTCCAGATACAACTTTATTCCACTAGGGTCAGGGGACAATCGAGTAGAATAGCGAATGAATTTGGGGGTCCAAAAACACTCCCTTCCTCAGGACTTAATAAGAAAAACCATGTATATGGACTCCACTCACTGCAGCTTGAAATTTGTATTGAGTGGTGATGGGAAAGCTTGTGGCTTGACAGCAGCTGGTTTGGCAGAGACTTTAGACCACATACATAATTTCTTTCACTAAGCCTGAAGAAGGGGGTATTTTTGGACGCCTAAAACATGTTGGCTATTTTACTCGATTGTCCCCGACCCTAGTGGAATAAAGTTGTATCTGGGCTATTTTAATCGGTGTGGCGCTTCAATGCCTACAGTTACTGTGTTCACTGTGAAGCCAAGGATACTGTAAAGACCGTCAGACCAGTGATAGCTGCCTTTCCATTATCCACGTTACACATAATCACACAGGTCCAGTGCTACTCTACTTCTAAATATTAGCTGTAAGTCTTCTGACATCATATCAAGCAGTAGCCTCAGGGCATTTGGATGTCTACACAAGGGAGGTTTTTGCAGGAAAACAGCAGGCATACTCAGGGTCTCTCAGGTCTATCTTTGTAAATGGTTTTCTGCAATCAGTTCTGCCGTAATAACAAAAAATGTAGACATTTGGATTACCAGAGCTGAGGTTTTGATGGAAGCCAGCTCCTGTGCAATAAGCCTCAATCACTTTCAGAATCTGTGCATCTTCTTCCAATGCTATTGTGCCTGAAATAGAAGGGTTTTGTAAAAATATAAAACAGTTTTGGGTTACTCATATTCGCAAAGATTTAAAACAGGGAAATGTATGAAAGATAACCACATCATATTTTGAAGGTGACCTGTTATCTACAAACCTTGCACTACAGACTTGAAAATCTGATCTCTGGAAGATAATATTTTTTGGTACCGAAATGAAAAAAACTAATGGGCGTCCTTCTCTAGAATACAAACAGCTTGCAACTAAGTATATAGTAATTGCATTTCAGCAGCTGCCCATGCTGTCAGCATTCCAGATTGGACTGATCTGCCCAGACAGTCACGCTAGCTTGCTACACTACTGACAGATCAAAAGAAGAATGATTTTCAGATTAGTTTTCACTTATCTGCCCAGCAACATGTCATTAAATAGTCAATAAAAGGAAGAACTCTAACCACCAATATGTAGTAAAAAATGCAGTTGTGTTCAGTGAGAAAGCTTGCTGAATTTACCTGAGAATCAACTACAGCTACATGTCACATATCTGTAAAAAATAAATCAAGGCAACTGGACTTGATGTATTTTTCTTGAAGTCGTTTCACCAGTCATCCAGCTAGCTTTCTTAATTAATTCTGAATCAAGAAAGCTAAATCGAATGACCAGCGAAACGACTTCAAGAAAAATACAGCAAGTCCAGTTGCCTTGATTTATTTTTTACAGATATACCATGACCTGGATGAATGAGAAACTTCACATACATACACTGACATAGCTCCTCGAGTGTGTTATGGATGTGTCTGCTTCTAGAAACATGTGCTGTGTACCTTCCTCTGTATCTGTTTTACCAAATCAAATGACCAAGTTTGAATATGATAAGTGGGTGTAAGAAACGTGTTGTGCTTACACATTGATAGATCAGTTTTTCTATATGTGAGCAAAAACAAGTAGCCTGCTGAAGGAGTGTTATGAATACCTCTTTTGGATCACAAACAGGTAAGTGGAAGGGATTCCTAGACCACAAAAAGAGTAAGGGTGGTCTGAGATACTACAGTAATCCCTGGATAAAAAGAAAAAAATAAAGCCACAGAGGAAACTAAATGGATAACTGCTGGTTCTTCACGGAAACACATTCTGTCTCCAGTAGACCTGTGTAAGCACACTACATGCCAGGTAAGTGACACTTGGGTGCATATTTATAAAATAGTAACGTTAAAATTCTCCAAGCAATAACTACAAATGAAACTTCGGGGTGCATGTGTTTTAAAATGACAGTGATTAATTAACCATCAATAGATGTTTGCTGAAGGTCACATTCACTGCTTTATAAATAGGCCCCTTAGCGTGCTTTTCCATGACCTGTGCCTGATCACACGCTCAATGAAGACAGCAAATACCTTTCTGCATAGTTAGGTTGTGTGCCCCAAGCCATTTCAGGAACATAAAACAAACAAGGGCAAAAGCTACAACACAGAACTAAAGCCCATAATAGATTTTTAAACGTGAACAAATGACAATAACTTGCATACTTTTCCTGAGAGCAGATTCATCATCGGAAGCTTTTCGTTCTGGTTTTCGTTTTGGAAGAAACTTCTTGACATTTTTGGGGCTTTTGCTAGAATCCTGTGGAAAGAATTGTGAGTTTACATACGTATATTGCTTTCTCAACGCCTTTGATCATACTTTTGCTGTCTAAAAAGGTATTAATCCAACACTTTATTTAACCAGTTAAGAAGGATCTGGTAAAGGGTGGGGGTACCCCCTAAGCAGATAAGGGCCTGCACTGAGAGAGCTTCCTTCTGTGCTGCAATTATAATAAAGCTGTACATGAGCCGAACATACTTCATATTGTTGATGTTAACTCATACAAACCTATTACCAAATACATCATTTCACAGATTTTTTTCTTTCTCCATTTTCAGACAAAAAAACAATCACATCAAAGTTCCTTGACTATAAATGTTGCCAATGCCTAACTTTAGACCCCATTTTGTAGCTTTGGAATAGATTAGGAACTGTCAGATCTTAAATGCTGTCTCCCTGTCGAGTATTCACGACATTTCCTGTTTTGTTTGAATTCTTGATATAAAACAAGAGGAAGCTACTCAAAGGGAACAAAGTGCAAAAAAAACCAAACAGGTTTTCAGCCTTCTATACTAAACCCCCTATAACATTTTAGAGTTGAGTTTTAACATTATTGCTGCTGGGCTACTATTGTCCTCACAGGGACCATACAAAGCCAACAGTTCACAGCCAGAAATTAATAATTTGTCAAATCAAAAACAATGACACTAATTTATATTTAATATACAATAAATCTAATTAGATGAATGTCACTATAAAAACTTTAGAAAATGTATTCTAATGGGGGCTGTGTCCAGTCTAGAGTCTCTTCAGCTTGACACAGATGCTGCCAAAAGATGTCTGAGATGTTTCTAATTTATTTGTAAGATATAATCATTTCAGGATGTTCTAGGTCTGCACCAGGGTCTCCTTCCCAGAAGATGTATATGGAACAGATCCGATAGCAACCTTTGTAATATGCTTAACCACCTCAACTGTGTTTTCTCAGTTCAATGGAATTATAGGTCCATTCTAAAGGTACTTCAACCCACCAACATTCTCACATGAGAGAGAAATGAAGGGCATGTGCAGTTTTTTGACCCATAACCTTGAACGAGAGGTGATAACGTGCACTAATTTTAT